GTTTCTAAAGTAAAATGCATATTATCCTTAGCATGTCCTTGATTCTTTGTTGGCTAACTTGAAGTAAATCGGGCTAGGTTTTATTATTATAAGTCCAAATCCCAAATCCAAAACCATTATTTGYGACCACTTCCCATTTTACAAGAATCACTCATTTCAACATTCACTATTCTTTAAAACTTCAGAGTTTGGAAATTATTTAGAAGTCCTTGWGGATCGATACTTGGATACTTCATCCATTTTATATTACTCTGACAGGTGTGCGCTTGCATCTATATAATTGTTACCACGCTTAGTGCGTGCGTTCAGCATAAACACCCAGTCAGCAGGTGGGGGCGCGGGCGTAGACGTGCGCGTGCTAGATGCTGGCGGGCGCACGGGGGGCAGCGTCTTGTGAGTTTAGATCGTCGTTGGTGGCGTAGGCACGCACGTTGTGGGCATTTTGTGTGCGGTCGGGCTCTCTTCTTGGCTTAACTTGATTCCAAGGGCTTGAGGCCAAATATGATCACATCATGTCCTTTTTTGCATTCTCTGGTGTTTACTCTTCAAATTCCCTTCAAATTAGATTAAAAAAAATGTATTTATAGGCATTGTTGCAAGCATTCAAGCACCTGTTTTTTTTTTTTCTATTCGCGTGGTTGTCCCTATTTAGGCACCTAGCTGCTATGATTTTTTATTTTTATTTTATGTTTATCTCAACAACTTTGAAATCCTTCAAATTCAATCTTCAAGATTCAATCTTTCTTCACATATAAAAATAAATTAAAGGCATGAATTAAGGCCCAAAAACTTGAATAAAAATAACTTAATCTAGATATGATAAATAAATATAAACTAACTAAGAATAACATAATCTAAACAACTAGGTCTCAAAAGTTATATCCTTTCAAAATCAAAGGAAAATTTTAATGGTTTTCCTGTATTGTAATGTAACTCCATATATATATGTCGAAAAAAATGTAACTCAATATGAAATAATCAATTTAAAAAGAAAAACTCCATGGAATAAAATAATTATAACTATATAGAAATTGATCCAAAGAATTGACAAAATTGTTGGGATTGGTGGAGCCAAATCAACGTCGAAACGGGCTAGGGATGAATCGAGATCAAGCCAGGATGCATCGGAACAAAGAAGGAATAGAAATCAAGTGAAGTGGGTGCTGTAGGCATGGGAGGTCGAGGAGGCAGCATTGCAGTGCTGTCAATTGGGGCGTGGGTGGATTTTCGTTCCATCCGTAGCGTCATGGCACAGTAACAATGTCTATAAATCTGCAGTTTTCGGGTTTCGAGTTTTCTAAGTTGAAAGGGGGTTTTAGCATCCGTTTTTTAGATTTGGCAGCGAATTAGTGGCAGTGGCTCGGGTGTTGGCATCACACATTGGGGAGATCAAGATCATCGTTGTTCGGGGTATTGTATCTTGATTATTGCGAGTTTCTCATTCCTGTACCTAGGTATTGTTGGGTTTAGAATATTTATAAGCTAGGGGGCTTTTGCTGGGACCTCTGGGGGATAAATTTGAGGAGAGTTATTGTAACCAATCATCGACATTATTAGTGAATTATGTACATCTAAGTGGAAGACTAGACGTAGCCCTTAGCAGTGAACCAATATAATTTTGCTGTGTATTCTTGTGCTTTACAGTTTTCTTCCTTATTTGCATATTGTTTGGATATTCCTGTGGAAGAGAAAATTATACAGGGCCATTAATTTCCCAACAAGCAGAGCTGTAGGGTTGCAAATTATGTGAGATAAATATCATGCACACCATTACAATGAATGAGTTCTGAAGTTTACTGGAGAGAATTTCAGCTTTTTTAAGATGCAAGTAAAGGAATCTTATTACATGCAAGAAGATACAGAAGACATTGAGGGATAGACCAGCGGAGATGACCGACAAGAATTGGAAAGAGATGGATAGCAAGTTGTTGCAAACATCAGAATGTCTTTATTGATGGAGATATGCAGTCTGGTGGCGAAACAGACTACAACGAAGGAACTATTTAGGCCTTGCAAGACAGGTATGAGAAACCTTCTGCCAACACTAAAATACTCCTCTAGATGAAGTATTTCAACATCCACATGGAGGAGAAAACCTCAGTGAATTCCCATATTAAATAGCTCATCGATATATCACTACTAGAAAAGTGGTCTTCCATGATAGATGTGAATAGTAAAAAAGTTTGGAGGAAAAAAATTGTCATAAATCATGGGGGTGCATTTTTTGCAGGAAAAAACGTAACTTTTTTTGTTTTATGACAGTTAAAAACTGTCACAAAAACCAAATTTTCAAGGACAATGAAAAACTGTCACAAAATGGTGGAGGTACGATTTTGACTGGAAAAAACGGTGATCTACGAAAATTTCCATGTTTTATGACATTTTATAATTGTTAAGAAAAATAAAAATATTTCAACTATTCCATGACAGCTACCTAGACCATTTTGAGAATCTATGACATACAAAAAGTGTCACAAATTGAGCGCGTTTCATTTCAGTCAGAAAAACTGCAGCTTTATGGATGATATTAATTATTTCGGGATTCTCCAATCGTATCAAGTATAGATTTATGATTAATAGTTTCAATTTCATGAAATAGATAGAACATGGTATTTGGTATAATGGTCTGTTTCTCTAAATACCTAATTTATATTTTTTCAACCCTTTATTATTATATTTTTACAAAAAAAATTACTACGATAAAAAATTAATTTAATTATATTTTCCATTTAAAATAAATAATATATATTTGTTTTGTATCCACATTTCCGTGAATAAATCTAATTAATCATAAAAATTAAGATATGATGATAAACATAAAATAATATAAGTTAATTCTAGTTTCATCACGCATTCTGTGAATAAAATATTCATATTTATGATGGAAAATATACATACATACGTAGTGGAAGCACGCAAGGATCGAAATAACAATCTAGATGCATATTAAAACCTAGGATTAAACATGCATGCTCATACATTATGATGCTTACACTAGTAGAAAAGTGGTTTTCCATGACAGTTGTGAACAATAAAAAAGTTTGGAGGAAAAAAAAGACATAAATGATGGGGGCGTGTTTTTGGCCGGAAAAAACACTATTTTTCGGATTTTGTAAGTTTTATGACAGTTAAAAACTGTCACGAAAACTGAATTTTCAATGACAGTGAAAAACTGTCACGAAATGGTGGAGGCACGATTTTTGCGGGAAAAAACAGCAATTTACGAAAATTTTCATGCTTTTATGACATTTTATAATTGTCAAGAAAAATAAAAATTTTCAAGTATTCCATGATAATTACCTAGACCATCTTGAAAATGTATGACATACAAAAACAAATGATTTTGAGCGTGTTTTATTTCTGTTGGAAAAACTACAGTTTTGTTAATGATATTAATTATTTCGGGATTGTCCGGTCGTATGAGTATAAATTTATGCTTAATAGTTTCCCCAAATACTACATGAAACAAGTAGAAAATGATATTTGGTATAGTGGTATGTCTATCCTACGTAATTGTGCCCTTCCTCTCTTCGGTCCCGAGTTTGAGTCCTATGAATTTAAATTATTTTTTCAACCTTCTATTAATATATTTTTATAAAAATAATATAGGTTAATTCTAGTTTCACCAAGCATTTAGTAAATAAAAGTATTCATATTTAAATTATATTTTTTTTATTGGAATGAAAGGTAGTCAACTTAATCAAATGCTTAAGAATTATTTTAGGTTTGGAACTAATTAGGTTTGTTGGAGACTATCTATCGCAAGCCACGTGTCGACAAAAGAAAGGTATTGTTATTTAAGAATATCTTTTATCATGATACTCTGTGCAAGTCTCTTTAGGTCAGAATGTTTTGATGAGCTAAACTGTTCATTATGTTTTATCGACCAACCTAGAAGGTTAGAGCCGACCTACGTGAAGATGTTCGCAGGAGTGTTGAATAACACATTAATCAAACAACATGTTGCGTTTTATGGGTAGTTGAATGACCATTATGCCATTGTCGGGAGTCTTGTCGAAGATCTTCTCTATAAATAGAATTCAATTTTATTATTTATTGGGTGTGTATTTTTATTTTTTATTTTTGCAAGAATTTATTACTTTCTCTTATCCTTGTTTGCTAGCAGGAATGTTCAACAAATGATTTTAAATTTCATGATTTAAAGTCAAAGATATGATTGAAAATTCTTTATCTTGTTTGGAACAAAAATAATTTGAAATGAATATAATTAAATTTAATTGTTTGATGTTTGTTGGATGATTGAGTTGGATTTTTTTGTTTACACAAGTTAACTAGTTCGTCTGAACCGAAATTTTTTTATTCAAATATCATTTTTACTACAAGAAATTGTTCTTACCTTTGTAGACGTATACTTTTCACTTTTTGAAATTCTCACATTTTCTGTAACACCTGCGTTCTTTGGCTCGTTTATTTTAAGACTTATTTGTGCCCCTGGATTTTTTCTCTATGCTGATATTTAATTTCATGAATTTTCTAATATTGAAGTTCTAATTTTGGATTTTAAATTTAGTTAATCTTTTAGATAAATTTTCTAAATCATTTTTAGAGAGAGTTCTTATTGGGAAAGGATAATGGAACGTTGTTATTTTTTTATATAAGACCTTAAACATTAATTTGTGTGCTATTTTAGTTTAATTGGACGGATTTGTTTTTGGTAAAATAAATAAAACAAAAAGAGAAAGGGAAAGGGAAAGAAAATAAAAAGGAAAAAAAATGAAGGAAACCTAGCCCCCATCTCTTTCCCCTTCCTTTCACGTGTAGTCTCATTCTTAAGAAGCTTCTTCTTCCTCCATAGCAATCCCATTCTTCTTCTTCTTCCTTCATAGTAGCCCCATTCTTCTTCATCATTGGCGACGACTTCACGACAGTATTTCCCAGCGGACGGCAAAGCAAACGAACCCCATGGCGGTATGACCCTCGGGCTGTAGCGTTTTCAGCGGTGGTGCGACAGCAACAAACGCCCAGATCTGGCGTTCTTCAACGGCCCAGCAGTGCGTGCGGCTCCTTTTTGGATTCGTTTCGTGGCAGTGCAGTACTGTGGACTTGAGGGAAGTTATTTCTTTTCTCGGTCGTGAATCGTGATTTTTTACTCAGTTTTCTGTTCATTTTCTGTCCGATTTTGCTTGTAAATTACTGTTTGCTTTGAAAACAAAGTCCCTCGAAGGTTCGTGAAAATGCCGAGTTTTAACTGATTATTTTGTTGCTTTGATTTTACTTTTTAAGTTGTTTTCTGGTTCAGTGAGAGAGTTTAGATCGTTGAACGGCGGCGAAAAGTTTTGGTCGGAATCGGCGGTGGATTTTTATGTTTCGTTTTGTTAGTAATATCGTGCATGATCTTGTAGTCGAGATTTAGGAGTAACTTTCAATTTTTATTTTTTTCTCCCTTGTTCGTGTTGTTCATTGTAGAGCGAAAGAGATTTTTTTGTATATTATTGTTCAGTTTTCAAAAGTGAGAAAGAAAAAAACTGTTTGTTTAATAATTATTATTCATTTTTAATTCTTACTGATTAATCTTCTTCTTCAAAGCAGGAATGAGCATCTAAACCGTGCAAAAAGGGGAAAAAAATTCAAAGATTCGAAGTTCAAAGCAATGGAAGAGAGAGAAGCCATAAGTGCGTGCGGCTCCTTTAACGGCGGCAAGGAGCATTCGGTGGTAGGGTTGTTGCTTATTCGACAAATCAATGGTAGGATTGTTGCACACTTATTAGATGTTGATCTGGAAAATTTATTTTGAGTCTATTTCATTATTTTCTTGGTGTTTCAAGGCAGTGCAATATAATCTCGACTGCTACTGTTAGATTCTGCTCACTTTGTAAATTAGAATTTTGTTTTCAAGTTTCTCGATTTAGGTTGTGTAGCTTACTTTTACGATTTTTACTAATTGAAGATGTAAACAACATATTGTTGTTTGTGGCAAACTGTCTGGGTAAATAATTTTTCTCACTTTCTACTGTGAAATGTGCTACTTTGTAGTTCTGCCAAACTCTGTGCTTTTTTTTTAGTCACGTGATTGGTTGGATGTGTGGTAAAGAAGAGATTTCTATAAAGAATCAATGATGGTTACTAATTGGATTTGGCATCTGAGTTCAATTCTTAAGCTTAATTAGTTTTCACCTAAAAGTTTAAGTTTAGGGATAAGTGGTTTGGAGGATCAGTTTAATGTTAATATTAAACAAATAGGCTTTCATCAGTTTGAAAGTTACAATTACCATCTTTTTTTGGAGGATTGCTCTCTCTAATAAGGTAGCTTTTAATCATGGTCATTGGAGGTATTATGCAATATCAAAACTTCCCGGTGATCTTATCTTGTATTATGGACTCTCTATCTAGAAAACCACTTCAATGATTGGATTTTCATTTAAGCTTTCAACCTATTGTCATCCGAGTTAAGCAAATCAAATAAAGCCATGAGGATTGTTATCAAAACGAAATTCTATCTCTTTCTCCTCTTAGGTTAGGATTGTGAAAGATGGTAAAAATCTAATACAGATTTTTTATTTTATAATTGTAGAAAATGTTTAATTAGTTCTTGTGTCTTATCAAAAAAAGTTTAATTAGTTCTTGTGGTAGTTTTTCTAAATTGCGTTGTTTTGAAAGATTCGCAGTAGATTACTCACTTACATGGTTAGTCATGAATTTTTTGTCTTGAAGAGGTAAACAATAGCATTTTGTATTTAAGTCTCTAGATTTAGGTTGCTTAGCTTAAGCTTTTAGGATTTTTAGCAATTAAAGTTGTTTTGGATTTTTTGATGACTAAAATTTCTCGTTTTGTTGTAGGTGATCACTTTCTGAAGATGATGATGAGGTTATTGAATAAAAAAATTAAAGCTTTCTTCGATGATAATGTATGGATTTTCAATTTGAGTCTTTGAGATAAGTGACTATTTTGTCTTTCTAATCAACATTGTTGGCCTTTTTATTAAATGCACTTGTCGGCTCTTACTTGTCCGGTTTGATTTGCAATAGTTTAGGCTTTTGAATTGAAGAAAATGCAGACAGACATACCTATAGTTGCAATGCCTTGGGCTTTATCATCAGCTTTTCCAACTATGTGGCCATGATGAAAAATATCATTAATACATTTTTTGGTACATTTTTATGTCATCCATTATATTTTAATGGATTTACAGTAACCATTATGTTTTTAAATTATGTATGATCATAAAATTATTTACACCGTTTGTTAGTGTTGTGTATATCCTTACGGATGAATTATCTTTCAACTGTGTTGTTTCTTCTCTAATTTTTGTCCCCCACTTCGATTCAGGCGTTGAGTATATCCTTTACTACATTGGGTCTTTGATGTGGCTTAGGAAGGATAAGTCGAATACTCTAATATCCACAAAGTATACAACCTCAAAATTAAAGAAATGGCCACTTATCTTATTTACCTGTTTTTAACTATTTGAGCATTAAAATGCATTTAAAGTAAGTTATTCCAGTTAATTCAAAACTTATGATATAGTTACCTATTTAGATGAGCTTTACTGCGTTATATTTCTGAATTGATTTGTCATTTTGAAATAAAATGAAATGGCTTCAAATACGGAATTCCTCTAGGGCAAAATATAATTTTGTTAATGTTGATTAATTAGTAAGGATGTTTATTTGCTGATTTTGATAATGAAATCCTTCCGTCAATTGTCAAGGACTTTTCTAGTGACAAAACATATAGCAAACTAATTTCTATGCATATGCTGATTCTAGTCGCACAATATTTTTTTGTTATTCTTTTTGTTACATTTACTTCTTCGTCGTTGCTTTTGATAGTAGTATAGCAAATATTCTCATTTTTTGTGTTTGTCAATCATCACTTACCATTGTAAGAAGAATATGACATTGATGTTTGTTTGACACTAGGGGTGATGTTTTTGTCTAATGTATTCTATTGATACTTCTTTCTCTTCCATTAATACATATTTGTGTGGCTATCCTGCAACAAAGATAGTCCATTAAGACTTAATGTTTATATGTGTCATGCATATAATATAAAGTATAATTGGATAATTGTGTGGTTTAAAGTTTACACGAGTAGAAAGTTGGTCTTCCATGACAGTTGTGAACGGTAAAAAAGTTTGGATGAAAAAAAAAACTGTTATAAATGATGGGGCACGTTTTTGGCGGGAAAAAACGGTATTTTTCGGATTTTGTAAGTTTTATGACAGTTAAAAACTGTCGCGAAAATCGAAATTTCAATGACAGTGGAAAACTGTCACGAATGGTGGAGGCGCGATTTTGGCGGGAACAAACGGCAATTTATGAAAATTTTCAGGCTTTTATGACATTTTATAATTGTCAATGAAAATAAAAAAATTTCAAGTATTCCATGACAATTACCTATATCATCTTGATAATGTATGACATACAAAAACAAATGATTTTAAGCGCATTTCATTTCTGTCGGAAAAACAACAGCTTCATTAACAATATTAATTATTTCGGGATTGTCTGGTCGCATCGAGTATAGATTTATGCTTAATAGTTTTCCCAAATACTCTATGAAACAAGTAGAAGATGGTATTTGTTATAGTGGTATGCTTAGCGTAATTGATTGTGCCCTTCCTCTCTTCGGTCCCGAGTTTGAGCCCTATGAATTTAAATTATTTTTTCAACCCTCTATTAATATATTTTTATAAAAAAATAATATAAGTTAATTCTAGTTTCACCAA